AAACTTTTATTATCCTTGATATCTGAATACATTTGGTGCCTAAGATTGTCACGTTCGACACTGCAGTAAGTAGGCCTTATTTTCGGAGGATGTCTTATTTTCGGGGAAACAGGGTAGCTGGGTATTCTTTTTAAACTGAGGAAATCGCAGCCTATCTTGTGGAGAAGGTCTATGGAGTAGGGGGGAGATGAAAAACAGCAAACATGTTAACTGTTAAGCTGTTATGCTGATAATAGCCACTGAAGAGGATTAACAACCTCAGATGTGGTACAAAGATACATTTCTGGTTCAAATCTGGCCCTTCTCAGTAGTCACCAAATTCTGTACCAACTGTTCTAACTGCTGTTTAGTTACTTGTATCCAGTTTATTGCTGCAAGTGTCTATGACACACACAGCATCACTCCAATTTGCAGTCCATTTCCCCAGTCTAGTGGGGAGCTGGCTGGATGTTGCTCAAGGTCATTTTGGTATAGCTGGGATTAGCCAGGTATTCTGAAATCCACTAATCTTATGCAGAAGAATACGAATGGGAAGAGGAAGCTGTGGTCTTTCATTTTAGCTACTTCTGCCATACACCAGGTAGCCAGCTGATGGTCCAGCTGTGTACAGACCCTCAAGCAATGAAAGGATATACATGGAAGAATTCTCAGATATTGGTGGTTTATGCTCTGCGTCTTTGGGCATATCCTAAACATAAGCAGTCAGCCCTTTTGGCTGGACTGACTCATTTGGTGAGTTTCAGTGCATTGCCTATTCCACACCAGCATTAGCACAACAGCTAGTCTATTTCTTCAAGGCCTCAGAGACTAATGAATTCCATGGATTTCTGTTTTTCTTACTGGTGCTGAGACATCTTGTCTTCCCCTTCTAACCAGGGTTATGATCCATAACTGCTGTCAGAAAACTTTCAACTCCCTGACTGTTTCATACACTTTGTGACCATGAGAACTGATGATTGTCATTCCCTTGAGATAGTGCATCTCTGTTGCTTGCAGTTTGTTCAGAATGCAGCAGCACTTTGGCTCAGTGGTTTGAGTAACTATGATCATGTTACTCCTGCCCTGCGTTCCTCACATCGCTTGGCTAGAATGTGGTGGACTGATTTCAAGTTGGCAATGAGACATTGTCAAAAAATCACATTCCTGCTGATTTCTTTTTATCCATTATTATCTTAAGTATTGTTTCGATAATTGTAACTGAAAAGAATGAAGACAAACCCTTTTTTCACTTTATTTAGGAACACAGGAATTGCTAGACTGGCTGAGACCTGAGGTCCATCTAGCCCAGTATCCTGTCTTCAAGACTGGCCAGAAGGTTCAAGAATCTCTACAGTAGGCAGATTTCTGCAATTATAACATTTTGTGTATTGCCCATTTTCATGGCTGTATAGTCAGTTTAATAAAGCAGAGAGAAGAAAACATTTACAAAACAGGGAAACAGGGTTGTAAACCAACATGAATTGACGGTTTGGGTAGGACCCAAAAATACTTTTTACTAAATTTTGAAATTGACATGATTTCAAATTGACACATTGTTTCTTACAGCCCTGAGGGCTGTACAATCCTCTAACCACCTCCTCCACCCTCATCCTGATGGCTATCCATGCTCTGATGCCTCTGTATATTAGGGATTTTACTGCTATGTTCCAGGCCAGTATTTGGGATGTTGGTGCTAAAGGCCATGGGGTGTGGAAACTGCTCCTCTATATAGACAGTTGTCTCAGTTCATTTTCCCCCACTAAAGAAACACCTCAAGATTCTTTTTGCATTTCAGAGCTGTCTCTTTTATTAAATTACAACTATCTGATGCCATATTTCACTTTCTTGCTTACCCCAATCCATTTAGCCTCTTCTTTAGTTACTGTACTCTTTTAATCAGCATTTTTAAGAGGGTTTGAAAAAATATATTGTTATTATTTGTACTGCAACAGCACCCTAGAGACCATAATCAGGATAGATAAGGGCCAGGGCTAGATTTAGGGGTGTCATCACAATGTCAACTATATGATTATCTAGCCCAACTGGACTATTTTTAGCTGTCAGTTGCCGGGGCGGGGTTGGCAGCTGCAAGTCGCGGTATTTGGGGCTATTTTGCTGTCCTGCTGCCACTGGCCGCGCTGCTCGGATGTTCTTGGGAGGGAGGGAGCCTCCTGATCTGCCCCGCCCCCTGCCAAGATACCCCACGCGCTGCTTGTCTTACTTCGTGCCCCCTCTCCTTAGGTGACATTTGCAGTATGCGCAGAATTCTTGTCCGAGGAAGGCAAAATATTTTTTTTGCAGAAAATATGCTGCTGTTCCGTCGTTTGCCCACTAGATGCCAGTGTGATACGAGAACAGCCTGAGCTGGATGACGCTGACTGGTCTGGGAGGCAGTGGCAAACTGCTAGCAGGTGGGTAGCGGGTGCACTGTTTTCTCAAGTGAAAAGTCACATCAGCGTTCTTGGAGCCAGGTTAGGAGGCAGAGAGGGCCACACAGGGCTGCTGGGGGGGGCGGGTGTCAGGGCCACATGGGGACTCCAGAGGGGGGCTCCAGGCAGGGCCACATGGGGGGGCCCACTGATGATGCTGTGCCTAGGGACGCGTAAGGTGCAAATCCAGCCCTGATAAGGGCCCCAGTGTGCTAGGTGCTGTACAGACATAATGTAAGTAGCAGACAGTCCCTGACTCAAGGGCTCACACTCCAAGACAAAACACACAAGGAGATGAAACAAACTAATGGAGGAGTGGATGAGGCTAACAGTGACAGGAACAGATTGTTCGATAAACTAGCTGGGTACACAGTCTTTTCCTCACTGCAGAGTTAGCCCAGATTCTGGTATGGATGTTGCCCCACCCTCCCTCTCGTCCACATAGAAAATCCTCTAACCCAGACTCAAGGATGCTTTAAGCCTGGGCTAGCAGGATATAGGCATGAGCTCAGGTTTTGCTTCAGCCTGAGCTGAAAACCCACCTGCTTTGCAGTGAAAACTCAGGCTAATCAAGACCAGGGGCTGTTAGTCCTCCAATGCTATCCCACAATTCCATCTGAGCTGTACTTTCTTGTCTAATTCCTGCCTTATTCCACACTGTATTTTAACCTCATGTTTGCCTGCTCTATTTCTGCTACGCTTCCACAGAATCAGAGATGCCATCCAGATGCCTTTGTCCATGCTGCCAGCTGGCCAGAAGCTGACACCAGCCTTCTGGTAAAGTTGTGGTGTGATATCAGTAAGACCCATAAGAACACTTCTGCAAAGGAGCTCAGGAAGGACAGACATGTTCTCCCAAAATACACTGTGAATAAATTTATAGAGTGGCCCAGTTTAATGCACCACTAAGAACCCTGGGATATCCTGCCAGAAATCCACCCAGCACACAACTAGTACAGCACCACTGTAGACACTGCCACACAGTTCTGGCATGGATAGTAATTTCCAGTGGGGATGCTCCACTTGTGCTAGACTAGCCTTGGTTAGACTAGCCTCGGCTAACTTTTTAAAGTTGTAAGCCAGGGGTTCTCAAACTGGGGGTCGGGACCCCTCAGGGGGTCACGAGGTTATTACAGGGGGGATTGTGAGCTGTCAGCCTCCACCCCAAACCCCACTTTGCCGCTAGCATTTATAATGGTGTTAAATATATAAAAAGTGTTTTTAATTTATAAGAGGGGGTCGCACTCAGAGGCTTGCTATGTGAAAGGGGTCACCAGTACACAAGTTTGAGAACCACTGTTGTAAGCCTCTTAATTGTTTTATTATTGGGTACAACCACCTTGATCTCTTCAGCTGGGGCAGGGGGCTTTATACCTAAAATAGTAACACAATGGGCTGTAACACTTTGGTCTAATTTTGGTTGATGGGTTTAGTGTGCATGTGCTGGGTGGTGTTGGTGACCTGTGAAATACAGGAGGTCAGACTAGGTGATTTGGTGGTCCTGTCTGGCCCTAAACTGTATGACTCTACCTAGGCCAGTGGGTAGAAGAGGCAGGATTCTCCTATACTACCCAGGGTTCAATAATACATAACAAGGCTTTAGAGTAAAGCCTAAACAAACTGCCTTCTACGAGTCTAACCTGGAAACTGTCTCATCAACACAATGAACCCTTTCTCTGAGTACGGAGTTTACAGCATCTATTCACGTTTTAGCATATTTAGCCAAATTTAGCCACCAGACATTTTTACTACTGCTAGTAATACATTGGGAACATTGTAAACAGAATCGCACTGAACATTTTTAATAATGATGGCTCTTTCAGAAAGAACAAACAAAGACTGACAATCAACTAAAGGTCAGTGGTATCATGGAAAGACTGATTAGAACATGGAAGACACCCTAGTTAAGGGGTTCTCACAAGAAAATTTTTGGTGGCCTCAGATTGCGACCACCAACTATTGCTGGTGGCTGCTCTGACAATTTTTCCTACAATACTCAATTAACTTTAGGAAAAACAAATAAATAGGCATATATACATATCTAAATCATTGTAATTTATTTATGAAGTTTTTTTTGCAGACTCAAAAATAAAAATAATGTACCGTTTTCTCTATTTTTTACTGGACCTAAACACAATAGAAACAAATAATGTGTTTTACATGTATTTGTCCCTTTTTGTTGTTGTTTCTTTTGCTTTTTTTTTGGTTGCTTATTTTTATAAGACTTGCTAGCTAGTAAGTCTGTTTGTGTGAAAAGTGATATTAGTATTTTATTAATATCACTTTTCACAGCAGCAGACTTGCTAGCTAGCAGGGAGGCAGTGAAAAGTGATATTAACAAACATACAAATATCATTTTTCACAACAGACTCAGTCAGCCCTAGCAAGCTGGGGGACAAATTAAGCCCTGGATGGGGAGGTGGGTAGGGAGGCAGCTCGGGACCAGGGGTGATGCGGGGGGTGAGTCCAGGGACCGGAGCCCTGCAACTGCACAGTCCGGTGAGTCCAGGGCCGGAGGACATAGTGGGGACAGGGGCGATGTGTGGGGGGGGTGAGCTTGGGACCGGCAGTCACTGCTATATGGCTGGGGGCCGGGGCTGGATTGTGTGGCCCCATGGGTGGAATCTAAAACCCTGCAGATGGGGGTCAGAACACACGGCCAGAGCCTGGGGCCAGAGGAGGCACTGGGGTAAGGGGGCGAGCCTGGAGTCAGGGCTCAAAGCCCATGGCCAGGGGATGGAGCCTGCTGTCACACAGCTGGAGTCTGCCACTCGCCACCCCAGATCTGAAACCCAAGCCCCGCCACCTGCCTGCTCCTCCAGCATTTCTGGCTCCAGAGGGGGACAGGGCCCAACCCCTACTGGCAGCCCTGGTAGGGGCCACTGCTTTGCTCACCACCAAGGAGGATATGGCCACATGAAAAGCCTCTGGTGGCTGCATGCAGCCACAGTGGCAGCATTTGAGACACACTGCCCTAGTTGATTTTTAAGTATCAGAGGGGTAGCCATGTTGGTCTGGATCTGTAAAAAGCAACAGAGAATCTTGTGGCACCTTTAAGACTAACAGATGTATTGGAGCATAAGCTTTCGTGGGTGACTACCCACTTCATCTGATCACTCTCTGTTGCTAGTTGATTTTGTTAGCCCCTTACGCTTGAATTCTGTTCTCCTAAGAACAGATGCTGAAGTTTTAATATATTCAAAAGTAGTTTTTCCCCTAAACTTAGACTTACCCAAATGCTCCTGATTTTCCTGAGCAGACCCCAGCCTAGGCTTGATTAGCAGATCTCTTGATTTAGAGACCTATATTACTCCAAAAGGGATTTATATTATAAAGAAATGTAAAACTGACTGTTGATTTAAGGCCTGGCCTGACAAAAGATGCATAACACGTAGTACTGAGAATCTGGCTAAATGTTGCAATGCAATTTCTGAAACAAAATTAGAAATATGGAGCTTTTATGAAACAGAATTTCATAAATGACTCTCCTAACCGTTTCTGAAAGAGAACCATTGCCCCCCTACCAGGGATGAGGTCTTCAGGTTCTCCACCATATTTATTCCTTCTTTTAAGATGCCTCACTTCAGCCTTATGGCTCTCATCCCTGCCCTGCCCTGGAACCCATCAATAATACTGCTTGAACATCTGGCAGGGACATTTGCCCTAGTAATATGATACTGACCAGTCACTTACTATGCCTAGGTACTTCTAGGGGAATTCTGCACCACTGCGCACTGAAGAATTTTGCGGAAATTAACGTTGTGATGCAGAATTTCCTTCCCCCCACAGAAATTGGCTGCAGTGCTGCTAGCCGCCATTAGGGGCTGCTGGACCCAGCAGAGCCCAGCTCGTACATAGAAGACACTGCTGTGGGAAGGGAGAGGGAGCTAGTGGATTCCGGACAGCTGCAGTTCCCAACATGCCCTGAGGGAAGGAGAGGACAACACGCAGGAAACTCCATGCAAACCTGAGACCGAGCATCAGGCTGTTTCTTCCTCTGGATCCCTGGGCTCTCGGGGTGGAGGGGGGGTGTCTGGGCTGGGGGGGGGGGCGCACAGCTGGGCTCTGGAGAGGAGGGGTGTGGGTATCTGGGCAGGGGGCCCCACGGCTGGGAGGGGGTTCAGGTGTATTGGCTGGGGGGCCCCATGGCTGGGCTGTGCGGGGGGAAGGGATTGTAGGTGTCTGGCCCCCTGGCTGGGCTTGGGACAAAGGGGCAGAGAAACAGGAACTGGGTTATCATGGGGTTTCTTTAACTCTCTACTCCTGGGGGAATTTTTGTGTGTGTCTGTATTGTTAGACATACTTGCTGACAGGTATTTTAAAATAAATTGCCAAAATAATTGAAACTAGTGTGATTATGTACTGTTATTCTGACAAATAACATTTGTAGAATTTTTAATTTTTTGACACAGAATGCCCCCAGGAGTAACCCCTGGAGCCAAAGGCACCACTTCCATTGTGCTTCTGATCAGAAACCAAGCTCGGTCATTTTCTTGGCCTAAGGCTGTATAAATTCTATTGACTTTTGCCAATGTAGCAACTAGTTTATTAAACAAATGTTATTCCTTTTTTTTTTTTTTAAGTGTCCTTTAAAGGAGAATTTTAGTGACCAAGACATCTGGTTACAAAAGGAAGGGAAGAAAGTACTGAATAATCTCCGGTCACATGTAACTCACAGATTAATCTGGCTTGTATGTGAATTCCAGTGGTTTGGGATCATACAGCCTCCAAACTGTTTATGTGAGACGTGTATTTTTCCTGTTGCACTGCAGTAATTGTTTTGCTGGTCCGGGTGATGGATGATGGAGAAGGTTGTGTCTGGAAATGTGCTCAGAAGTCGACAGGAAGCTGAGAGGGCCCTTGCCAGCACTTCCTTCCTGTAGATGAAGGGAGGAGGAGGGACTGGGGAAAAAACTTGGCTGTCTCTGACCCTGAGAAAAGTCTAACCATTCCAGCTGGATTACATTAAAATATTTTAATCTTTAGAAAGATTAAAGTATCCTTCTTCTATAACTCCTACCTAAGTGGTAGGCTCAGTGGGGCTTAAGAGAATTAATTGTATTGAGGTCCTAAAAGTTGCAAGGCAGATGTAGAATCAGAATCAGGTGTTGGAAGCTGAACAAATGGAGATCAGATTTCAGCCATTTTCAAATAGATTGTCAGCCTTATTTGCAACACAGCTGGCAAACCACAGGAACATAGGGATTTCCACAATGGATCAGACCCAATGTCTATCTAGTCCAGTATCCTGTATCTGACAATGGCCAGCACCAGATGGAGATGTAAGAACACCCCAGTAGGTACATGTGGGATATCATGCCCCTATGAAGGTCTCATCCTGGTCTCTATTAGTCAGAGATTGGCTTAAGCCCCGAAGCACAGGGTTTAATATCCCTCCCCAAATTCTGTTGTAATTAATTATAACAACTTCAGATATTATTGAGCGCCATATAAATACCCAAGGCCTTTTTAAATCTTGTTAAGCTTTCACCCTCAATGAGCAGCCCAGGAGCATTCTGGCCAACCATTCCACCTCTCTCAATGGAGACAAAAAAAGATTTGCCTAAGGAGCCTTCCCTTGCACAGAGTCATCCTAGCACGAATTGTCAAAGACACTAAACTTTGCTCCCTCACACACTTAATTCATACGCCCCCTATAACCTCCTACCATGGAGCCATCTTCCATCCACATCAACAAAACACACTCAAGAGTGAGAACTCTCACTCCTCTAGATCAGTGGTTCTCAACCAGGGATACACGTACCCCTGAGGGTACG